TGATTTAGAAATTCACTTGAATCATGTGCGCGATGTTGTTCTGAACCACCCCAACGATGATTTTCTGATTCTTGGAGATTATAACTGTCCTAATATTTTATGGGAAACTAAAACAGGGCAAAATATTCACTTTGCTGCTAGAACGTCCGACGGCATTGGAGAAAACATTGTTGATACTTTCAACTTATTGAACTTAGATCAATATAATGGCAATCGCAATATCCAAGGTAAGCTACTGGATTTAGTTTTTAGCTCGCTGAATAACACTTCTGTTCTTTCAAGTCCAGCTCCCTTTGTTAACGAGGATTCCTATCACAAATCTCTAGAAATTATGATCAATGTGGAAGAAAATATCAGTGCTTCCAAGCATAAGGACTCTTTTAATAATAGAAACTTTTTCAAAGCTAACTACAATGAAATAAATGCCGAACTGAATGTTACAGATTGGAAACTTTTATTGGGAAAACTCCACTGCAATGAAGCTGTTGATGTATTTTACAATAAAATCAATTATCTCATTTCTGCGCATGTACCGAACAAACTATTCAAACAAGATTTTCCGATATGGTATACCAACTTCACAAAATCACTGATAAAACAAAAATACAAATTACACAAAAAATGGAAAAAATATCATAATCAGGCAGACTATGTGGAGTTTTGCACTATTAGGAGGGAGATAAAAAGGTCAATAAAACAAAACTTTGCTGATTACTCTCGCAAAATCGAAAACGATATGACACATAACATGAAAACCTTTTGGTCTTTCGTATCAAACCGAAATAAATCCAAAACCGTTCCAAGATATGTAGAATATCAAGGTAGCACTTTCTCTACAGACAGCGAGGTTTGTGAAGCTTTCTCTCAATATTTCTCATCTGTTTTCGAACCAGCAGACATCCCTCCTTTTGTTACTAGATCGGACCCACCTACTTCCATTACTATGAATAATATAACACTAGATCAGATCACTGAACAAATCAAGAAACTTGATATACACAAGGGTGCTGGACCTGATGGAATACCACCAGTCTTTCTAAAAAATACATGTAATTTAATAGCGGTTCCACTACTGATAATTTTCAACAAATCTCTCTCTGAAGGAGTTTATCCGGATAAGTGGAAACATGCCAATGTTATTCCCATCTTCAAAAGTGGAAACCGAAATGATGTTTTAAATTATCGGCCAATATCGTTGCTTTCAACTCCGGGAAAGATATTCGAGGCCATTATAACCCTCGAATTGTTTTATGCAACCAAACATCTCATAAACGACAATCAGCATGGTTTTTTCCAAGGCCGTTCGGTTATCACAAATCTAGCATTTTTTACTCAAAAAATTCTTGATCACATGAGTTCTAGGCTACAAGTTGACGCTGTGTATACCGATTTTTCCAAAGCCTTCGATAAAGTTCATCATAAGTCACTAATTATTAAGCTGGGAAATATTGGTATACATGGCAACTTACTCAGATTGATAGAAAGTTATATAAGGGATAGAACGCAAACTGTAACTTTGAATAGTTGGTTTTCGGAGTACACCAATGTTACGTCTGGAGTACCTCAGGGTTCACACCTTGGACCCCTGTTGTTTTCTCTTTTCATTAATGACATCAGTGAATGTTTTCTACATTCTGAGTTCTGCTTGTATGCAGATGACCTAAAAGTTTTCAAAACTATCAAAAATAATACAGACTGCTTGAATTTGCAGACAGATCTTATTAGATTGCAAAGTTACTGTGAAACTAATAAACTCGTACTGAATGCTCAAAAATGTAATCAAATTACGTTCTCCAGAATACATAAAGCCATAGACTTTCCATATGCTATTAACAATAACAACTTGGCAAAAGTTGACTTGATAAAAGACTTAGGTATCTTGTTGGACTCTAAACTGACTTTTGAAAATCACATTGAATCCATTCTAAAAAAATCCTTGCGCAATTTGGGATTCATTATGCGAATCACAAAATCTTTCACGAATCATAGGTCTCTAATTATTTTATACAACTCACTAATTCGTAGCCATCTTGAATTCGCCAGCATTATCTGGAACCCACATTATTATAAATATATCGATCGGATTGAGAGGGTACAAAAGAAATTTGTAAACTTCTTGAACTTTAAATTCAATAGACAACTGCACTTTCAAAACTATGAAACGAGTCTCAAGTATTATAATATACCCAAACTGTCCGTTAGGAGATTGGTCTCGTTCGTACGATTCCTCTTTAAAATAGTCAATAATCAAGTAGATAGTCCATACTTATTGAGCAGTCTCAACTTCAGTATAAAGCCCCATGCCACTCGTTCTCCTCATTTATTTTATACCAGCTTCCGAAATACCAACTATTCAAAAAATTCACCTGTGATGTCAATTCAAGAATTATATAATCTTTATTTCTCTCACATAGATTTGTTTTGTAACACAGCCGCTCGGGTAAAAAAAATGGCTCTTGATGTTTTCAAATTATAGATTAATTTACTATTAGTTTTCGTTCTACTTCAGTTTCATACTAGTTACCTACTACTCAGATACAAAATGTAATTATTAGTTATTAGTTATTAGTTATTAGTCAGTTTTAATGTACCTATTAATTATACCACACGCATTAATATTGTCACAATGCGTAATTCTGTAATTGGAACTTATGTTCTGTTGAATTACCTATAATAAATAAATAAAATAAAAATATCTACATAATCGTATTCTCCTTTGCATGGAATTCCAAATATCAAGTACGATTTCGTAAATAATGCGCCATCCTTCATTCTCCCTCACTCCTCACATTCCTCTGACGTACGTTATGAATTTCGCCTTGTTTGTTTTCATTCTCCCGACATAAGACCCGCTTTGTCGTGCATTTATTTCCATATGGCCTTGATGGCAATACATGAATTTGAAATGCTGCGAACCATCAACGAAACATAGGAGACCGTTCTTTCTCATTTCCTCCCTAGTGAGATCATGTAGATGAAGTATCATTGTACAATGGGACAAGACGGATGTGGCCATTGAGAAAAACAAAATATAGGAAGGGAAAAAACAAGGTACAGGAAAAAACTCATCTTTCCTGTTCACACAAGATAGATATGGTGATTTGGTGATGCTATATCTGGTATATGCATCAGCAGGTTGTCTAAATGGCTATGGTTTATTCGATTTCAAATTTGCTAGGGCTTGTTGGAGTTCTTGGAAGATCTGACGTGCAATGTTTTTCAGAGGGTGAATATTGTCACTTGTCACAACTGAGTGAATATAATTTCAAAAACGATGATTCCAGCGTATGAACTTCTTCGCAAATACAGAGTACTTATTGGCAAAGGCCAATGCTGCAATCAGGAGCTTGTATCCGCTGTTAGCGAGGAATTCCTCGCTGACTATGGACAACAAGCTCCTGATATATACAAACAGATCATACGTCCTACTCTAACATACGCCTGTCCGGTGTTCTGTAGTATCTCGCCTACCCATATGGGTAAGTTACAAATACTACAGAATAAGGTACTTCGTATAATTACAAACGGTAATAGGTACTCTCGAGTGGCAGATATGCATGCACAGTGCTATGATCTGCCCCTAATAAAGGACTATATCCTTAAATTATCGGATAAATTCTACTCGTACCACATACGAAACAGCTCCCTAACAGATGGTATTACGTCAATTAGGGCAGATCATGGCCAACGCAGAAAGCACGGGCTGATTTACGAAGCTTGTAGTATTTTCAGAGAACCCCTGGAATAACCACCCACCTTCCCAATCCATCCCAACAGATTGAAAGCACTCCCTTACAAACAAATTTCACGACTCGAAGGTGGTTTGGTCGGCCCCAGGACTGAACGCTTTGGTCCGACTGTACGACCTCCGAGTGTCTACACATATTGCCCGTAGCTGGGCATAGTAAGCGCATTCCTGTTGGCACCGACCAACAGATAAAACATCTAGATTCTATCTTCATAATCTATGTGCTATATCTCAGTCTGTTGATCCCTTTTTATCCCACAAAACCCATCCTAACCCTCACCCTTCCCTACTCCCCTCGACATTAATACAAATCGAATTGTCAGAATGTGGTTTTTGGTTTTTCTTTAATTTTCCACAAACAAATTAACGACAAATTATAGAGTTCATGATAGCGCAATCCAAACATTCGAATTTTCGCTCGCACTGAGCAGCTCGCCCTATCAGCTATGGAAAGGACCATGTCCTAGGACGTAGTTCGGACGTCTTCCTCAACACACTTGATTAATAAAATCCGCCCCCCACTGCGCCACTCGTGGCCAACCTCTGGGAACCGATAGAGGTTTACCCGGATGGCTTTTAATATGTATATTTATTTCTATGGTTTTGTGCGTTCCATATATTTTATACTTGTCAAATATTAAGGATTTTATTTATATTGAGTGTATGTCTGTAAAAGTTAAATATTCAAATAAATGGATTTAAATGGATTCCAGCGTCTATTTAAATTTCAAATTTCCATTCTGAAAATGGAACAAGAATATGAAAAATATTTTATGAAACTAAATGAAACAACAGCTGTCGAAGAACTGCGAACTGGACCGCGTTCTGCATAACTTGACCAAACGACAAAACCACTTTTTTCAGGAGAGTCGAAAAACTTTACCAGACCATTGAAAATCAGTACTCATATGTTTCAGCCTGATTTTTTTTGTCTTAATAGGAACAAATGATAATAACTAATGTGCGTAATATTTTTTTTCCAATGTCCAAAAGCCGAGTCATAAAAAAATAAAATGGTGCTTGGTCAAGTTATGCTTGAAGAGATGGTGCTGTTTTTGCTTACACCTAAATGACCATATGACACGAATGTTGTTTGGTCATGTTATGCAAAATAACATGAGATACATTGAAAGAGGGTTCAGGTGTGGAAATTTACATTTCATTAACTCACTTACTGAAAATAAAAACATACATGGTTCAAACATTTTCGAAAACAACTATGGTAACACGAATACTAAAAAGTGAAGGGCTTTTAATCATCATTCTCTAGTGGAAAATCAGGTTGGGCATTGAACCCATTTATGTCTTCCTCAATATAGGGGTCGCCTATTAAGTTCTTGTAGAATTTTTTGGCATCTTTTGGAATGAAGCATAGTAAGGATTTCAAATCTTCCAATTTCTTTTCCGCAATGGGTTTTCCATTGGGCCACAGACTCTCAAGGAGTTTACTGAAATTGGAGTTGGAATAATTCGAAGGCATACCCCTTTTTTTTTCAATGTTGATTTCTTGAGCAGCAGTTTCAAAATCAGTTCTCATAAAAATGCTGAAAGGCTTTTTCTTCAACACTTCTATTTCTCTTATTTTGAGCCAATTCACTTTTATATTTTCTGTGTCTACTTTTCTGTTAACTATTGCTTTTTCTATGGCAGCAGTACTGAAAAAGTTTTCGCTTTCCATTGTGTGAACAATAAGAGGATTCTTTCGTCTACAAGATTTCATAACATTTATATAGTCGTCTGGAGAGTACATTCGTTGTTGTACTCATGTTCAGTTTTCAGTCAGTGGTTATGTTGAGACTGTGGTTGAGGGGTTTTGAATATCTTCATAACTATTGGAAATGGGCTTATATCACAAAAAATATTTTCATTTCATAATTCGATAGAACTCACCCAAACTAGCTCACCACCGCAAACCGTTTCTTGTTGTGAGCTCCCTACGTTTTATAAAAAATTATTGAAATCCCCGATTTTTTGGACCTCTGAAAACGAGGCGATGATGTGACGTCAAAACCCTAATACTGAAACGAGACTATTCTAGACAGAGATGAATGATACATGATTTCTGACAAAGCACCAAGATTGGTGAATCGGCAAGTTGATTTTTGGGATAAAGCTAATAGAACAAGAAGATCAATTCTAACCTACCTATATTAACTTTTTGCAGCTCCATGTAAAACGGGTCAACAGAGCAATGTTGCTACGTTTATGAAATATATGGGATTATTGTGAAATTGTGATGGTGCAAATGGTTTTGAGATTGAGACATTTCGTTGTCTAGAGATTGTTTGGTAGTGGATATCAAAAGATATTTCAATATCGATTTCGATCTCTCGGATATTTTGTTTGCATGATATGGCAACAGTGAGTGATAAGTGTCAGTTTTAACTATGGCGAGATGAGGTTTCTACGTCATAAGAGTGTCCGTTTTCAGAAGGTACTATTATTTATGTCCAAAAATAAAACATTCCAGTTAATTTTTCGATCGAATTATGTCGTCAATCATTATTTATGTATAAAAGGATCATTATAAACATGGTTTGAGTTAAACGTTCTACTAAGGTGTACACGCCCATTGTTGAATATATTCTATCATGAATGTATGAACGGATAATGAGGCGAATTATTTCTGTAAAGAAAACTCTCCTTATTTTGGTATTGCCTTTGTATGAACGTTATGTGTATGAGAATATCTTATCAGTGTTAAAGAAGTACATAAACTTCACTATTCATACTAGTACCCCGTGACACAAAAAAGTCAAATCATTATAAAGAAATTTAATGTAACGCAAGTGGCGCACTCTATACAAGTGACATTTAATCTAATTTCTCGCCTCAGAGATAACCCCCCATGATATCAAATTTCGTGCTGTATATATATTGCTACACTGATGATGAATTATTGGGAAAAAACGAAATGCAAATTGAAACTTTGACACCCTGTAAGTTTGTTACTATCAATTTTCGGACTGGGGTAAGTTTGGCATGGTCTTGATTTTTCATTGAAGGAATCTGCAGTTCTGCTGTGTACCATTAATTAGCGGACACCCTGTATATTTACCAGCAATATCAACAAATGTCAAAGCGAAAGCGAATAATAAATTGGAATCCATATTCAACAGTATATCCTCGTTTGAATATGCAAACATCAGAAGATATACAATGGCTTTAATTTGTAATTCAAATATTCTCCATACGAATATGACATCTATGAAATCATGACTACCGAATTCTGTATTGGAACAGACTGCATATTTGAGTTTTCGTTCGAAAAACGTAAATTCTCTCGAAACCCCAGGAAACCAGTTACAATGATGGTTTTTTTCATTCCTCCTCTTCAACAGGATTATATCTCCCGAACGCGTATATATCGTGATCCTCCCGTAATCTATGATCGACTCGTATAAACGAATACTGATACAAGTGATTCTTTCCTGAATGCCTATTGATTTCGATTTAGCCAAGCCACGCTAGACAACCACAGACCGGTTTCGAGCTCTTTGACTCTCATCAGTGCAGTGTAGTCTCCAGCCAGCAGTCCTAAGTCCGCCGACTCAGCGAAGCCTAGCCAAACAAAAATCAAGTCGGCATTATATTAGCCCCGAGGCGTCTTTCATCTACAATATGAAAGTAACGCCATCTGAGTAGAACAGGGGGAAGAATCACTCCAAATTTAAAATTCCCCAATGAACTCAATGCAACATTGAGTTCATTGAAATTCCCATATGGGAGTGGCTGGTTGCCCGACTGGCGTAATTTCAACTACGAAATAGCCACAATGCTCAAAGTGGAATGAAAAGTTGAATAAATGCGAAAAGCTCAAAGTCAACCTTTGTTGTTCATTTTATTATGAACATTATGTGGAAATGACTGAGCTTTTTGCTATTTCGTAGTTGACTTTTCCTTTCATTGAATAACTTTCGTGATCGTTCGACTTTGTGCCTCTTACTCTTTTTTTTCTCTCAAATATCTACCATTCAATTGGTATCGGATGACATAATTCTTATTTCGTTTTCAAATCACGAAATCGAGTGCAAAATACCGCACCAAAAAGCGCCATTATTCAATCATTCTGCTCAGGATAGTGATTTGCACAGGTGTCGTTCGATAAATCACAATGTGCTCACATGCCTTCGGTATATTATATCAGACGGCTCTTGGACTACGTTTCATTGTAGCTAACTGCAAGGTTCCATAAATTTCGTCCTTACCGTTTATACAGGGTGTTTCTTAAGTACGGGTAGAAATTTCAGGAGCATGTTGCTGACGTCAAAATAAGGAGAAAAGTTCGTATAAATATGTGTCCGAAAGTTATTCGTTTCTGAGATACAGAGTGACAAAAAGTTTAATTTTAATTTTGTTTTTTTGTTAATAAATTTCAGAATGATTGTGATATTCGAATGAAGTCTGGTATCTAAGGGTATTTTTCAATGACAATATCAAATTTCATGTAAGTTTGTCTCTGTTGTGGGGGTGGCGCCACCAACATGTCTTTTGAGTTTTTTAAAAAGTCATAACTTTTATGTGCGTACCTGTATCACGTTTTATAGTAAAAAAGAATATTCCTAGAACACTTTCATGTAAAAAATATATTCTTGGTATAGAGGTCGCTGCGAGCAACTGTTCCTGAGTTATTGGGATTTGAAATAATCGATGCATTCGAATTATTTCCATGAGGCTCGTAAGATTTTGCGCAATTTTTATCGTGCTTGTCTGTGGATCTTCTTCGATTGCCTGAAGAACAGCTTCTTTAATTTCTGGAGTCCCAGTAGTCAACGATCTGCCTATCACTGAAGCCTTTTCAAAAGATCCAGACTCTATAAGGCGCTGAAAAAGGTTTCTGTGTGTCTGGTGATTCGACAGTCGATGATTAGGGAATCTTTCATTTCATTGATATTTTTTGAATTGGAAGAGTCCAAAAAAGTAGGTACAAAGGAAGAAGAATAATTTTTTGTTGATATTCCAATGTTGAATGTAGGAGACTATTGAATGAATGAAAAATGAAGGAACTGGCGTATTTTTTCCGATATTTACTACTTATAGAGCTGACTAACGAGCCCCATGAAAATAATTCAAATGCATGGATAATTTCAAATCCCAATAACTCTAGAACAGTTGCTCGCAGCGACCTCTACCAAGAATATATTTTTAACACAAAAATGTTCTATTAATCTTTTTTTCAACCATGAGACGTGATACAGGTACGCACAAAAAAGTTATGACTTTTCAAAAGACTCAAAAGACATGTAGGTGGCGAAACCCTAACGAAAGAGACAAACCAACATAAAATTTGATAGTGTCATTGAATAATATCCCTAGATAGCATACTTAATTCGAATGCCACAATTATTTCGAAATTCATTAACAAATAACAGAAATAAGAATTTAACTTTGACACTTCGTATCTCAGAAACGAAGAACTTTCGAACATATATTTATACGAACTTTTCTTTCTATTTTGACGTCAGCAACATGCTCCTGAATTTTCCACACTTACTTAAGAAACACCCTGTATATTATATATTTACTTATTGGTTCCAAACTTCATCCCAACCCTGTATATACATCTGACCCCCTTGTCAGGGTGGCATCGGTTTTCAACAAACAAGGTGTTGAAAACATATTTTTTCTACACATTTTTCATGATTATGTCGAAATTTGCAGAATCAATGTGATGAAATTTTGTATGGATATGTTTTGATAGCTGACACATCGCATCAATTCGTTTTCATATCTGATTCTCATAGAGGGCGCTAGTTACACGGTTCTCACCGAGTAGTCTTACGCTGCTTAAACATAAATTTTTGGGGTTATATTTTTCAATCCAAATTTGATGTGACCTTGAACATCATTGAATCAAACACCAAAAAGGTACCCTTGATGAAACACGATGCTGTGTACCGTTTTCGCAATTTTTTTATTTGAAAATAATGGAGTAATAGCTGATGATGGTGTAAAATAATTTTTTTCTGCAACCGACACAAAAGTCGTCCATTTCGATACCAAAATTAGCTCTTAAATTGACGTTTCTATTACTGACACTAAAATAGGTATATGTTGCTAGGCAAGATATTTAGTTCCTAGGAGCTAAAGTTGAATTTCAGTTCCTAAGAGCTGAAGTTGAACTTTAGCTCCTAGGAACTAAAAAGGATCTACTGGACGTCATCAAGAATAAACAACATTGTGACGGTTGGTTATTTGGGTTGAGACGCATGCATACCTGATTTGTTTCCGATTTCAGCAGATTTGGCATTTCATACCCATCCTGGAGATATAAATACACCTTATTATACTTTACTATTGGAATAATAAACATCTCAGTTAAGTATTTTTGTTTTGATCAGGGAAGCTTTCAAGATTGAAATACTTGCTTGATCTGTATTCCATTCGTTATTCTCGGGATGGATAACTTGTTTTTGAATAATCACGGCAAGCAATATTTTTTTTGTCTCAAACAACGATATTGTTGAGCTTCATTTGAATATCAAGCCATACACAGTGTAGTATGGAGAGAAATAAATAATCACTATTATCATTGTTGATATGCTCACTAACCTAACATTTTCCACGTCTTGTTTCTATAGCTGGCACTGGCGCGGTATTTGCCATTAGAGCACCTGGTCCATACACAAATATGTCACTTTGTGGTTGTATTTATATTGAAACTACAATTCGAACATCCTAGAAAACCTAACCAGGTAGAATATTCTCACCGCATGGATTATTTGTCAATATTTGTTGCATTGCATACATAAGGCACGGCATTGGTGGTTACTTCACATGTTCATTTGAGTTTATTGTTTCGGTTGCAGAAAAAATAGCATGTTTCATTCGGATCGAAAGTGACTTTGTTCGACTCGCAAATTTAGCTTTCGCTCGGCTTCGCTAAACGCTCCGCCTCGCAAATGCAAAATTCGTTTGTCACACAAAGTGTCACTCTTGATCCTAATAAAACAATCTACTATTTTCTCCAAATGACATCAACAGTGGATTTTTAATGACATTTAAGAGGTAGAAAAGGTGTACTTTTACTGCCAAGGCAGAAAAAGTTTGTTGCTATGCAACGTTCTGAGTAATTCGAATAATAGTAGATTGTTTTATTAGGATCAAAAGTGACACTTTGTTTGACGAGTCGAACAAAGTCACTTTTGATCCGAATGAAACATGCTATTTTTTCTGCAACCGAAACAATTAATACAAATAAACATGTGAAGTAACCCCCAATGCCGTGCCATATGTATGCAATGCAACAAATATTGACAAATAATCCATGTGGTAAGAATATTTTACCTGCATTAACAGCAGGTTAGGTTTTCAAGGATGTTCGAATTGTAGTATCAATATTGTTTCAATAATATAAATTCAACCACAGAGTGACATATTTGTGTATGGACCATTGGACCAGGTGCTCTAATGGCAAATACCGCGCCAGTGCCAGCTATAGGAACAAGACGTGGAAAATGTTAGGTTAGTGAGCATATCAACAATGATAATAGTGATTATTTATTCCTCTCCATACTAATTGTGTTTGACTTGATGATCAAATGAAGCTGAACAATATCGTTGTTTGAGACAAATAGTAGATTGTTTTATTAGGATCAAAAGTGACAGTTTGTTTGACAAGCGAATTTTGCATTTGCGAGGCGGAGCGTTTAGCGAAGCCGAGCGAAAGCAAAATTTGCGAGTCGAACAAAGTCACTTTTGATCCGAATGAAACATGCTATTTTTTCTGCAACCGAAACAATTAACTCAAATAAATATGTAAAGTAACTACCAATGCCGTGCCATATGTATGCAATGCAACAACTATTGACAAATAATCCATGTGGTGAGAATATTCTACCTGCATTAACAGCAGGTTAGGTTTTCTAGGATGTTCGAATTGTAGTTTCAATATGAAAACAACCACAGAGTGACATATTTGTGTATGGACCAGGTGCTCTAATGGCAAATACCGCGCCAGTGCCAGCTATAGGAACAAGACGTGGAAAATGTTAGGTTAGTGAGCATATCAACAATGATAATAGTGATTATTTATTCCTCTCCATACTACACTGTGTTTGACTTGATAATCAAATGAAGCTAAACAATATCGTTGTTTGAAGCAAAAAAACTATTGCTTGCCGTGATTATTCGAAAACAAGTAATTCATCCCGAGAATAACGAATGAAATACAGATCAAGCAAGTATTTGAATCTTGAAGGCTTCCTTGATAAAAACAAAAATACTTAACTGAGATGTTTATAATTCCAATACTAAACTATAATAAGGTGTATTTATATCTCCAGCATGGGTATGAAATGCCAAATCTGCTGAAATCGGTAACAAATCAGGTATGCGTCTCAACCCAAATAACCAACCGTCACAATGTTGTTTATTCTTGATGACGTCCAGTAAATCCTTTTTAGTTCCTAGGAGCTAAAGTTCAACTTCAGCTCCTAGGAATTAAAATTCAACTTTAGCTCCTAGGAACTAAATATGTTTCCTAGCAACATACCTATTTTTGTGTCAGTAATAGAAACGTCAATTTAAGAGCTAATTTTGGTATCAAAATGGACGACTTTTGTATCGGTTGCAGAAAAAATTGGTTATCACAATTCACAATGACGTTGGGTAAACAAAATATGATGGATTATTTGGACTTTACGTGGAATTGAAAACAATTTGGGAAAAAACGCCTAGGCTATGAAACGCCAGCTGCGGCATTAAATCTTGTACTTTTCAGCCTAGTAAAACAAATAACCATTATTTGAATCAATTACCTATTTATTCAGATTCACATTTTTCTTGTGCTGAAGTTATCAATTGAACAAATAATCACAAGTAGAAAATTGAGAAAAAACAACGAAACTGAGTAATCTATATGTTTCTAGTCAAATTGGTTTCGATGTTATTCTTGTGATTCATTATATGTTACTAGCGCCCTCTATGAGAGTCGGATGTAAAGACAAATTAATACATTAATACAAATTAAAACACACCCATACGAAATTCCATTACAATGTTGGCAGTAGTTTCGACATCAACATGAAAAATGTGCAATGAAAACATTCTTTCAACATCTCGTATTTTCAAAACGGAGTCCGTTACGAAATTTGTTCACTTACCAAACCCAACTTATTATGCAGTGTTCTACCTACCGTAGCAAGGGGATAAGTTGTTTTTGAAACACCGTGTATAAGTAAGTAAAACTTATTCATTGATCCTTGATGTTTCTTGCTAAGTAGGAGTATTCATTTATTGTATGAAGTCTCGAAAACTATGAGAGACCTTGAGACAAATAAGGAATGGAAATATCAATAAATGTATAACGACAATTCTTCATCAGTTATAATTCATCAGTGGAATATTTATGGCTCGGAATGAATATCGTTGAGTGAAATAATTATCCTTGATTGTTACAGAATATAGATAAAAGCAATGCTAACATGCTCATCAGTAAGTTTAAAACAGAGGATAAGTCTCTCTCAGAAACTGAAACTGATGAATAGAAGGATCACCGTACCTATTTATCTGAAACCGGTTCATCCTCTAGAAAAGAACGCGTTAAAATTTCGGCATATTCGGAAAACTATTCCAGAAACAATTAGGTATATCCGTCAGATTCCTCAATATGACCTACCCTTACTCTCAAACATGTGAACAGTTCGTAAATTCCATTAGGTGCCTAGGAACATAAGTTTTTTGAATGCTTTCCTGAACTCGGGATTGAATATCGTATAGATGACAGGGTTCACGAAACTATTCATGTATCCCAACCACGTAGTCAACAGAAATGCGGCTACGCCCGGCTGACAGGGAAGATTCAGTTTACTGCACATCGCGTCCAGAATGTTACAGGTGAAGAATGGTAACCAGCAAATCAGGAATACACCTGGAACAAATAATTCAATGAATGAGAAGAACCGACTGTAGAAGCAGGGCCTACTCTATCTGGTGAGATAGAGTTGGCCCTGGTAGAAGTCCATGTTGTCTCAAAGTAATGGAGTTAAGTAGTTCATATAGTAATAATACTCCAAGTCGTCTCTACAACGTTTAAACCTTAACTACTAATCATACGTCCCAGAGACGGCATATCAGCATCCGATTTGTTGGATTACCCCTGCTTTTCAATATCGGCCATTGTCCTACCAGGTCCTACCACGTAATTTATGTCCACCTAGCACTAATTCAGTACCCTGAAGTTGATCTATGTATGTGGTTCAGTTTTAGAAAGATAGATTGCCGTCTCGTAGACGTATAGCTATAGTTATTACGTAACAATAGAAATTCAATTTCGCCTATAATACGTGTAAATGCGTTTTTCTACAAACGTCAGTAAAAGTATTATTTTTGACGCATGCTGTCAGTGTCTAAAATATCATTTTATGACACTGGTGATAAAAGTGATTTATGTTTGAGAGAAAATATAGAAGGAAAACTCGTACTGCCGCTTTGACTAACTAGGCAATATCTCAAAAGCAGCTTTACTGGCAGCATCTTCAATTTCCGGCGGTAGAAATTCATTTTCTTGATCACTTTCCATCGAGGAACGAAGGACCGAGAAAGAATAATTTGTGATTCATTGACGTTAGTTGTCAACAAAGACAAATCAACAAATTCGGTTTTTGTGTACCTAGGTACCAATTGCCAATTGTTTCATGAATAGATTAGATGGAATTGGATTCAAAACTATCAATAATTTTAACAATTAATCAATGTGAAATAGGTATGCGTTAATTTGAACTTTTATGTGTTTGTAGAAAAAATAGTGTATGATATACCTGCAAAAAGTGATTTTATTTTGTGAGAAGGAAAGTTTGGGACACGACGCCGAAGGCTTTCGAAACATTAATTGAGATTACCCAATAACCTGAATAAGAATCATTTTGAAATTTTAGTATTTTTTCAGTCTCCAACCATACTAAATTATGGCTGCATGAAATCTTATACAGGGGCGTGATAAATAAAAACAATTAATACTTCCAACTTCATCATCCTTCATATCAAGAATGAAGCAAGTTTGGACACATGTTTATATGAACTTCATTTGTATATACAGGGTCGCTGATATGTACGAAAACAGGTGAATATCTTGGGTAACCGATTGTTAGATTTTTTGGAACTGAGCTACAGGGTTATTTCAAAATGTAGCGGATTCGAAAATGTTATCAGTAATATTGCCATGCACATATTGAATGAAATACCCTGTATTTTATTGGATTTTCAGATTCTCCCTGAGAAGCTGATTTCATCGATTTATCAAACTCGATTACATAGATATAGGGTGTTCAAAATTGAGATTTCTCAACTTGGGGATTCTTTTGTGTCGAAACTATTTATTCCTATCTTAACATCTGATTTACTATCTACTGACATTTAATTGGAACAGATACATAGGGTGATCAGAGAATACTGAATCCTGAACCACCCTGTATTTGTTTCAATTGAATGTCAGTAGATATAGTAAATCAACAGTTGAGATAGGGACATGAGAGCTGTTTTGACCAATAATGAAAAGTTCCGACACAAAAAAATCCTGAAGTCGAAAAATCTCGATTTTAACACCCTATATCTATGTAATCATTCCTGCTAGACTGCAAGTGCGATAGATCGATAAAATCCGCTTTTCAGGAAGAATCTTAAATACAGGGTGTTTCATTTAAAATAAGGAAATTAATGATAATTCCAGAATAACTGAAAAAGATGCGATAACATATTTTTCAAATCCACCACGTTCTGAAATCAGGGTGATTTCAGAACGTGGTGGATACATAAATTCAAAAAAATCTAACAAACTGTTACCGAGATATTCACCTGTTTTCACACCCTGTATTGTTATGACAGTTTCTCTACAGAACACCCAGGTAGAACATCATATTGGCTAGAACTTGGTTTCACATTAGCTCAATATTCGAATATTGAATATGGAATTACTAGATTGTCCCAATATCAAAATAATTTTTCATTTCAACATTCAATAATCAATTCAGTGTCTGTGTTATAATAACATTAAGAGTTTGTGACCAGCCGATATTTATTTGCCAATATCTATTTGATATTGTCGAAATATTAACGATAACGATATGTCAATTTTCATGATGAGCTGACATTGTATTTCCAATATTGAATTAATCTAAGAAAGAATATTGCATCAATATCAGATTTATTCATTGTACAGCAATATTGCACTGATATTGGCCGTTCAAAATCAATTCGATATAATGAAATGATGAATAGATTTCAATATCGAATCAATATTATCAACAGAATATTCCTCCTATGTTGATAGAGATGACCATTGAATATTGTATTTGCTACGAAAATTGAATTCTGAATCTCGATTTTGAACACCACATATCTATAAACGGAAACGGATCAACTTAATTTTTTGAAGACATCAAACGGAGATTATGCTGAAGTGTTGAAAGCCTCTGAGTATCAACTTGTATAACGGCTGATCCATTTAAGACAATTCACCTTCAATAACTCTCTGAGGAATAATTTCACAACAAAATAACGAAACACGTCGATTCTTGTTTGGAGGGAGACACCGTTTGACGTGAAATAGATGATACAAACTCAACCCCCTACTCTTCAGAGCCACCCCCTCTATAATTTGAAACTAGCACTGCAAAGTTTTGTGAATTCCAACAAGGCATTTCCGAGATATTATCATTCTAGTTCGAATGATATACAAACATTATTCCTTTAATGTTCAACGAATTCATATACACTTCTTTAAGAGTGCACCTAATTTCACGGACCTACTGTATACAAGCCCTTAAGTGTAATAAATATATTCTTGAATTCAGCTATCCATGGAGATCTTCGAAAATAAATATTATATAGGGTGTTCCATTCGGAAGAATAGACGCGGACGTCATTACTGAAACGGAGATCACTATCTGTTTATTCAATTTTTCCTCATAATTGTTGCAAATTGGAAATAAAAAGTTTGACTGTGAAATGGTATATTCGAGGGAGCTACATTGTTTGTATTTCCAGACTTGATTCTTCTAACCATGATCTTGTATAATATGAAGTTTGAAAGGAAAACTTTCTATAACAGGAACAGTATTTTGAAAAACAGACCATTCACACGTTGGAAACCTTAACCAAATTACGCAACAATGATTTCGTCACACCCGAAAATTTTGCTCCGGCTGAAATATGAATAACTTTTTTCTGCTCTGAACAATTTCAATTCGGATCACACTGTCATGGCTAGTCTAGTATATCTTCAAAACATTATCCAAAATCAAGTCCGGTCCTAGATTTTTTATTGAATTATACCTCTTCTCAAGTCTGCTGTTGAATCATTCCAGGAAAAAATTTTATTTAATCACTTTTAGTCGAATTTAGAGAGTGATATGCCCGGACGAAATCGAAGAAGAATTCATCGGTATTTTGTTTGATATTTTTTTACCAAAACGATCGAAGTGTGTCGTACGAATTGAGAAGCCATACTTGTAGTATTTTTCCTGATCTTTCTGATTCTGATGGAAGTTTCCAAAAAATCCGATCCAGAAGGTCAACATTTTGACATCTAAAGAGAAAATGAGTTTTCCAAGTCCGGATCTGGAATTTTTTATTCATAGTACGTCATCTTGTGGAGTGTCAGTAGAGGCATTAGAGGTAAGTTGCTAGTGAATTTCAGCCGATAACATCGAGACGTTCCTGAAATATCGTTCATTGAAGTTTTGCCCCGAATTCAAATAATGCCCTGTATTTCTGTAAAGAATAGGTAAAAAATATTTTTCTCCGATTGGCAGCAAATATTAATTTTGCTGACACATATCAATCAGCAAAGTATTACTTTTCCTGCCTAGGCAGCAAAGTGGTTACTTTGCTGATTGATATGTATCAGCAAAATTAATAATCCATAAATCGTTTATAATTTCTTTCTCATTTCATCCGAGACTTCTCCGGCAACAAATTCAACTCTATATTTTTTGCCACCTCCCTCATTTCTGGAGGTGTAAGTACTTCCAGGTCGCTATCACTGTCCATCATATGATTTAAATATACCGATATTTTTTCGCACAACTGTCAGAAATTTCATGAATTGTCAAACTATAATTATCATGGACATTTCCATAGCAACCAACCATTCCAACAACTGCGATTTCTATCAAATTTTATTCTAATTGAACACTACAGGAAAAATAAAGAGATATACAGGGTGTAAATTTGAAAACTTTCAATGCGAATATCTCGCGAAATAAAAAAGTTAGAAGAACGCCGCTTGGCAAAAATGCTGAAGAGTTAAGAGGAACTAGAACCACCATATTTCAGTGAAGGGATGAGTCACCCTGTCAGCGCAACACACCCCAACTTTGAAATGTCAAATGGCACTACCTCTTTTGTGATACCTCAAATGAACGGTCTCAGTCAGTAGTATTCACCTGTACAAGACTTTTTTCCACCCACTACAGGGTGTACGAAAAACATTAATTCGAGGGTCTAAATTTGAAAACTTTCAATGCGAATATCTCGCTAGATAAAACAGTTAGGAAAACGCCGTTTGGCACAAATGCTATACAGAGTCAGGGGGAACTAGAACCACCATACTTCAGTGAAGGGATGAGTCACCCCGTCGGCGCGACACACTCCATCTTTGAAATGTCAAATGGCACTACTGCTTTTGTGATACCTCAAATGAACGGTCTCAGTCAGTAGTATTCACCTGCACAGGACTCATTTTCCACCCACTACAGGGTGAACGGAAAACATAAAGTCGAATAAAATAAAATGCAGAATGCCGATATATATTCCAAGAGATGTGTTCCAAAATGTTAAAATGGCATTTGAACATCGATTATACTATTGCTTACAACAGAATGGAATGCATTTTGAACATCTGATCAAATAAAATATTCTTTTAACACAATT